GTCCCAAGATGGATGGGAGTTTCTTAGAAAGGAATTTCTACTAACAATTTTTTAAAAATGGAAGAGAGCAAAAACTACCAATATGGCTTCACGAAAAGCTCAGAGAAGACTTAAAAACAGAAAAAGGCAGATATAGGAAGCGGAAGGAAGACCATGCTATGCAGGAAGAATACAGATAAGTAGCAAAGAATTGAATGGATGGCACTGGGGAGTCAAACGCTGAGAATGAACTGGTTAGCAAAAGATGCTAAAAGCAACAACAAAATTTCATTCTTAAGTGTGGCACCCAAAAGACAGTCTTTGTACCTCCAGGCAAATGTGAAGTACAAAGGGAGGGGATAGAATCATAGAAAAATTGAGTTGGAGGGGGCCTATAAGGCCAATGAGTTCAATCCTGTGCTCAGTGCAGGAATTCAAATCATAGCAGATCTGACGGACGTTTGTCCAATTTTCTCTTGAATGCCTCCAGTACTGGAGTGCTTACCACCTCCCCAGGTAATTTGTTTCACTGTTGTACTGCTCCTACAGTTAAGAAGTTTTTCCTAATATTCAGCCTAAATCCAACTTCCTGTTGTTTGATCCCATTATTATGTGTCCTATACACTCTGGGATGATCAAGAACAGATTTTTCTCTTCCTCTCTATAACTACCTTTCAAGCATTTCAAGCACAGCATGGACAGAGTTCCTACTCCAGTCCTCTGAAGATGCCGGCCACAGAGACTGGCGAAATGTCAGGAAGAACAACCTTCAAAACACGGCCAAAGAGCCCGAAAAACCCACAACAACCATTTGAAAAGTGCTACCATATTTCACCTCAGTCTTTTTCCCCTCAAGGCTAAATATGCTGAGTTCTCTCAGTTTTTCCTCATATGGCTTGGTTTCCAGTCCGTTGATCATCCTTGTTGCCCTCTTCTGAACTTGTTCTGGTTTGTTGGCAGCCTTCTTGAAGTGCGGAGTCCAACTCTGGACACAAAACTCTGGATGAGGCCTACCTAGTGCTTAATAGAGGGGAACTAGTACCTCACAGAATTTGGAGACTATATTTCTGTTAATGCAGCCTAAAATAGAATTTGCCTTTTTTGCAGTCACATCACACTGATGGCTCATATTCGTCTTTTAATTTACATCAATCCCAAGATCCTTCTCACATGTAGCAGTATTGAGCCAAGAACCCTCCATCTTGTAACTGTGCATTTGGGTTTTTTCCCCCTAAGGCTGTACCTAAGTTGTACTTACAGGCCATACAGAGTTCTTCATAGCAAGCACCATCAGCACAACATGATTGTGCTAAGCCATGATGCTGATCCAAGATGGAGGATGAAACTGCTAACTATCTTCCTTAAATCCTATTATCCCATAGTCCATAGTTCTAAGAGTCCACCAGTCTGAGAGCGGCTTTTAATTGGTTTTAGCTGTACTAATTAATTAGCAAGGCTAATTAACTATGTTTCAGGTGCAACCGTATTCATCAACAGTCTGTCCCCCCGTCCGTATCAAGGTCAGGATGTTTTCTCCAACTTTCTGATCTCAAGATGGCATGCCGTTGTTATACTGTTCCCAAAATATTCAGGCCTAGGCAGTTCAGCATAGGCATAAGATTTTACAGACTCCATGTTAATTCTCTAACCACTTTACAGATATTACAAGCTAGGTGTTAACTCCATAAACCATAATTCCTCCATACAATCAATGTCATTGGCTCCTGTATGTAAATTTCCATATGCATTAGATATGCTATAGCTTGGGTGGAGAGAATAATAAATTGAACTTTGTGAGCTATTATCTTCTGGTTGTCTTTCCTTTCAATGGATATGGGAAGTCTTACTAGATTACTACCTTATGTGCCGTATTCTCTGTTGTGGGAAGGCATGCCGTGGATGTAAAAACAGCCCATTACTTGCATACTGTTCTGTGGCTGCATGCCATGCTGCAACTACAGTGGGTTTCCTTTGCTCTGAATATAGCATTTAAATGGTCCATTTGATTAATCATTTGTATACTGACTATCATACTCCCAAATTTCCTCTGAGTTGTACATACTGTAAAAGACAATTATGTTGCCATAGATTAAATAAGTGAATTAAAATGGAGTTGCAGCTTAATTTGACCTGTGATTTTGCTCTCATTCCCTTTAGTGGTGTGCACACCATTCCAGCAAATAGATGAAGTCATCCATGACAGCTGGTGATGAATTGCCATCGCTATACTGTATATTTTAATAGCCTCCACTAATTTAAATTGAGCACCGAGTAAATTATAATTCAGTCACTTGACTGCTTGTATTTAACTTGACAACTCATCCTTATTTGTCCTGAAGGTGTAGTAGAGAAAATGGGCTCAGGTAATTCTCATAGGGTTAACCCTTTCATCCTTGAAGTATGCTGCATTAGAGTCTTTGTACATAGGAACTTGTTCGCTATTTCATTTCCCACTTTTGCTTGATTTAAAAAGAGGCAAATCATTTGCGGGCTGGGAGACATGCTGTCCATTCTAAGTTGTGAAATGGGGCACATACTTGAAGTGTGGACTTTTTCTCTCAAATCTTTAATTTTTTTGCTGCTCTTCCTGATTCACTCCCACACAAATAAATATATCAAACAAAATATTGCAGTCCTAATGGGCACATAATAATGGGCTCAAGCTACAGGAAGCCAGATTTAGGTAAAATACCAGGAAAAACATCTTAACTGTTAGAGCCGTATGGCAATTGAACCAGTTCTCTCTGGGGGTGGTCAGAGCTCCGATGCTGGTGGCATTCAAGAGAAAATTGGGCAACCAGCTGTTAAATCTGCTTTGGTTTGTATTCCTGCACTGAGCAGGGGGTTGGACTTGATTTCCTTATAGGCCCCTTCCAACATAATTATTCAGTGATTCTGTAAAGACAAACCTGAGCTGATTCCCAGTTTTTTCATTGAGAGTAATGGAAATCGGTCTTAGTGTTGTGTTGCTCAGAGTCAGTTACTTCAGATATGTTCAGGGCCAAGCCAGATCATATGGCTAGTGTGCCATGTTGGCCAGGAGATTCTAGGAGTTGTAGTCCAGTTCCCTGATCACCACCCCCATATGCATATGCAACTCTCCATCCTAGCAATAAAATCTGAATTTCCTACCATTTCCTATTATCAGATAAAGAAAATTGCATAAGCACAATTGTGTTAAGACCAGCTTGATGAATTAGCCATTATCAAAGTTATTACAGGTAAAATAGCCACTTTGGTTTGCATGGTAGAGATTCCTTTTGGCCTATTGTTGCCTTATCTTTTATCTAGTGTGGCGAGACTGGGGATTAATCCTTGTGATGAGCATTTACTTGGAAACACACTAAAGTGGACAGTGGCCAAATGGAATATATTTTCCAGTAGCAGTCATTGGCAGCCATTTTGTATAAAGCTGGATTTAGCCCGTTTCCTTCTTTAAAAACAATTTACCTGTAATTCAGAACAACATAGGGACTTCCCTTCTTCCGTTCATAGCTTGGCTGATGCAGCTTGTCCCCTCCATGACATCAAACCCAGTCAATATTGAGTTAAACCTTTTGTAGCAATGGAAACCTGCTTTCAAGCAGAGTTGCAGAATTAGAAAGCAGTCTCTTTTAGACATGATATAGAGGGTTAAATTTTGTTGCTCTTTTAATGGACAAAATTGATATAGTGTTCCAGCAGGTTACTTTGTTTTAAGCTTTCCACCCAGGAAAAAATGTAAGTGAATATTGTTGGCAAATGACTATTGATCTGGAGAAATGTGTTAAATGTTTTCTTGGCAGCCTTTCTATTGCAGTTACAATTTAGTTTAGTGAAAGCTTTTATAAATAACCCTAAAGCAAATTCGTACTAGAAACTGGTTATGCTCCCCGCCCCCCATTTAGACAGACATCAATACTGTAAAATGTAGGCTTAGGTATAGGTTTATCTCTCTCCCCCCCCCTCTCTGTGTGTGTGTGTGTGTGTGTGGTTTTATATTTATATATACTGATGTATATTATTTATTTGTGTTTCATTAGCAGCCATGCCTTCATGGACTGTAGGCTGTTAACTGCAAAATGTGCTTCAGCCTCAAATCACAACTAATCTATAGTAATACTATAGATTACTACTGATTTTACATTATTTCATTTAAAGGGGAAATGACCAGCTTCTTCATTTATGGGGAGGGACTTTTCCTTTTTTCCAAATGAGCTGGGAGTTTGCTGTATAAACCAGTCTCAAAGAATTTTGATGTAAAGTCTTTGGAACCCACAACAAAGTTGTACAGTACTGCCTAGCAATTAGAGATTCACAGTGGTAGAGCATGAACATGCCATACAAATGTGTATTTACATAATGACTGAAATCCAGTTGCTTGGTGTAGTAAGTTGCACTAGGCCTGTTGAATCAGTGGAGATTTGATGAATCATCTCTGTAATTCCATTGATTCAAGTGGGCCTAACCTAGTTGCAATTTACTTCAGTGCAATAAAATAGCAGTAGGAGTTGAATAATGGAATTTACAGAGGAGCTGACTCACTAAATCCTTGTTCTAGTGTGATTTTCTATGCTAGGTAACAGGAATTCGGCCATTATGTGCATGTCCTGTACAAGATGAATGTAAGGTATATAGTGTTGAAATGCAATGTGACAAACCCAGACCTACTGGGATCTGCATTTTTCTTTTCTTCACATATGAAAATGTGGACAAAAATAACTTTGTTAACAATTTATTATCATTGCCAGGGACTAGATTACCTTCACTTCCTGACTGGCCATTGGCAGTGACTCAAGTGGTACATTCAACTTGGATTTCAGCCTGTGAAGGAATAAACTTAAAACTAGCTTGACAGCAGCAAACTAGATAGGCTCTGATGGCTCACTTTGGTTTTGGTAGGACAGAATATTGTGTTGCTTAGAAAACCCCTTACTGCTGTAAAAACATAATAATTAAAAGGAATAGGGTGATAGGCTAGTTAATGGTCATGCTGCATCACCTAATTTCTCAAGCAGTAATATTTCAGTATTTACTTCCAGGTGATCCCTTTAGATATTACACTGGAACTTCAGAAGCAGATTATGTCAGAATTAGAAATTCTTTACAAGGTATGTGTCCTTAACACCTGTATTTTAATTCTACTTTGCCTGTTGTTTCTCTGCAAATGTACATTAATAGCCTCTTTTTTCGCCTTCTTTTGTAGTGTGATTCATCCTACATCATAGGATTTTATGGTGCTTTTTTTGTAGAAAACAGGATTTCCCTTTGTACTGAATTTATGGATGGTAAGTTTTGTCTTACATATTCTTCAAAAGCCTTGGCTGTTTAAGGAAATATAATTGGCAAATCAGTTTGAGCGTTTTTCAGCAAATGTACTAAGGAAGCAAAAAGCTATTCTACAGATGGTACAAGATGCTGATTTTTATTTTTAAAGGGTGTTTTAAAAATAGTAAGCATACACAAGCCTTAACACATCAGGCAGGCAGGAGTAATGATTACTTGATGTTAAGTATGCTGTGTCTTCCTGAATCTTGTGCAGACTTTTATGGAAAATTTAAATAGAACAGAAGTAAATGCTGGTTTTTATCTGTGGTTTGATATTTGCCACTTCCATACAATCTGTCTTTGCTGACAAAACAGCTGTTCCTCCTTTTAGTGTTTCAATCACCAAAACAGATTTTGCTTTCAAATAAACATATTAGATCATTTGTATTGTATGCTTTCAGAGAGCACTTGATTACAAATGGCAAGATATGGTCCAGTAGTCTGTTTCTAATCCCAAATAAGACTAGACTCATTGAATCAATTGATCAGTGGTAAATCAACATTTACATAATATAACATTGAATCAATGGGTACGCTCTGGTTGAGATTTATAATGGGATACTAGTCAGAGTTTTAGTTCAGTATGAAAGAAGCTTACTGCACTGTGTTGATTTGTTTTTCACCTTGGTGGTCATCATCTTAGAACTGAGGGTTGGAAGGGATCATTTCGTCCCATCCCTGTCAAGGAAGCACAGCGGGGAATTGAACTTCCAATATCTGGCTCTGCAGCTAGAGACCTAAACCACTGAGCTATCCAACCATCTAATTATAAATGGCCAGCAGGAAGATGCTGATAATTGAAGGGTTACCTTGATATATGTGTGACTCATGAACAATTATACAAAGGAGTATGCACCCCAATATTGAATTGAAATTCCTTAATTAGAAGCAGTCTGCCGCTGCTAGTAATGTTACTTCCATTACACAAGCAAACCTAACCAACAGGATGCTGGCTGATATCTCAGACAAGCAAAGGATGTGCACCTACACGAGTGACTCAGAACAGTTACTTAGGGCAGCAAGATGTATGCCCTGGTGTCCCTTGTCTTGTTACAAAGACTGCTTTGGGACTGAGAAACATCTCTCAGATGATTATGGTTTTCACCCAGCAAAATGTATTAGGAAATTAATAATAATAATAATAATAATAATAATAATAATAATAATAATAATAATAATAATAATAATAATAATAATAATGATAATCATAATCATAATCATAATCATAATCATAATAGAACTGCAGAGCTGGAAGGGACCCTATGGATCATAAAGTCCAGCCCCTCTCTAGGAGGCACAGTGGAGAATTGAACTCCCAACCTCTGGCTCCACAGCCAGAGACCTAAACCATTGAGCTTCGTTTTGCCTCTTGCAAGCTAAATCTGGGTTACTATTTTTATACTCTTGGCATTCATTTTTTAAAATATTGACCAAAATAGTATTGCTTAGCATAATCAATCACACTGGAGTAGGCCCCGTTGAGTAAATGAGAGTTTAGTGAGTCAGCTTCTTCATAAGTTCCATTGAGAAAGGTTTTGGACTTGATGGTCTTATAGGCCCCTTTCAACGTCATTATTCTACAAGTCTATGATTCAAATGGGCCTACTATGTGTTTTACTTTAGCATAATAGGGCAAAGGTAGAGTAGGCCCATTTGAATCAATGGAACCTACTCTAGTGCCAATTACTATGCTAGGCATCTTGGCAAGTACAGTATTTGATATTAATTAAACGTATGTTGTTCCTCCCTCTAGGGGGTTCTTTGGATGTTTACAGGAAAATTCCAGAACATGTATTGGGAAGAATAGCAGTCGCTGTGAGTACTTAGGATTTATGTTTTTAATGTAATCGTATTAAAAAGCCTTAAAGCAAATACATTTAAGCATATTAATAATACTGCAGGGCCAAAAGAAAAAGAGGGAAAAATAGAAAAAAGCAGCAACCTTGTATTATTCAGAAAACTAACAAAACTACTTTGATACAAGGTTTCGTGTTTTAAAGTCCACTTCGTTTAGATATATTGAATTTATGTAATTCAAGCTTTTGTTAGATGTGTTTGGTGGTATACCCTAATTCATGTAAATTTAAGTGGTAATATATTTCTGAGTCTTCTAGGCACAATAGAACTGCTAGCATTAGACAATATGTGGTTACTTCTCTCGAAAAATAAACTGCACAAATATAGCATCATGTGTCTTTAGATATCATGTGCTCACGAGCTGGGTTTTCAAGATAGAAGGAGAGAGTGTATCATAATCTTAAGGCTAGAGTGGAGACCACAGGGAAGAAAGCCTTGGTTCGGTGTCACAGGGTAGAGTGTTCCTGAACAATTGCTAAATCTAAAGCTGATTTAAGTGGTTTAAAGCATGACAAAGATATTCTATAATGTACCATTTAATTAAATGCCTGCTTTCCACCCTCATTATATATCAAGCTGACAACTGAAATCCTTTAATCTAACACAGGCAGCTATTTAGGCTTCTTTCATTGTAATTCGCAGCTCGGTTTCATTCTCTCCACTTTAGCTGCATGCGTGAAGAGCATCTTTTCATCTGAAGCTGTCTCTTTGGAGCTGTTCCAGATGGGTTTATTTTTAGGCCCAGTGTGGTTTCCTTCGGTACAAGAGAGTGTTTGGCTTTCTCCTCACTGCCCTTGTCTTAGATGAGACTGAAAGTGTTTCATTTTTGCTGGTTGCAGTCGTTGCACAATATTATTAAATAATTATTTGCATAATTCACATTGAGTTAAAAATATTTTATAGTGTAGAGTCACGTGTGTCCTTTCTAAGCTGTTTGAGGCAGCATCTTTTAACAGTTCTTCTGGTACATTGCAAAAAGCCATGCAATGAGCTGGTAGTCAAGGAACGAAAACCTCTTAATAAATTTGGGCAGTTTCCTTTGAAAGGTTGTTTTAGGAAAATTAAGTCTTAAATTTGAAATCTGCAATCAAAAGCCCTGTTTCATCTAGTGAGGTTGCATGATGAGAGCCTTTAAAAGCAAATCATTGAACCACTTAGCTGTGTAACAAGGAAGATGGGGGGGCAATGCCAAAATCCTGCATCTGCTCCATCTCTCTTTAACTCTTTAAGTTGCTGGGGGGGTAAGCTTTTAGGCTTGGGGGGGGAATCACGTTTGTAGTGTGTATTTAAGCTTTGGGTTTCCCCTTTGGGTAAGGAATATGTGTTAAGTAGTCCTCCAACCAAATTATGAAAATATTTTATGGAATGCATTAAGAGCTCAGTATTGGCTTAAATCCAATAATGTTAAGTTACCTTGGATATACCTAGTGATGTCATCAGTTGCAGATGTAATTAATATTAATAAAACTTTTTCTATCCTCTCTGCACCCAGATTCCTCCACTCTCTTAAGATCCTTTGGTCCTGGAGAATACTTTGGGGGCAGTGAGATGTGATTCATAAATATCCAAAATTGCCACCACCGATCCTTCCACAGTTGCCAGAAGCAGCAGTGGCAATTTTCAGATGTACAGTGGTGCCTCGCTTAACGAGTGCACCCTTAAACAACGAATCCGCATAGCGATGCTTTTTTTGCGATCGCTAATGCGATCGCATTGCGATGTTTAGATAGGCTAAACATCGCATTGCGATGATCGGTCAGCTTACCGATCTTCGCATTGCAATGTTTAGAAAACAGCTCATTGGTGGTTCCAAAATGGCCACCGGGTGCAGAAAATGGCCGTCCGCAGCGTTTTCACACCCTGCCATTGCTTACCGGGCAGCGAAAATGGCGTCCGGATGGGGGAATCTTCGCTTACCGGTGAGTTCCCCCCCCCCACATAGCGACGAATCTGGATAGCGACGTTAATCCTGGAACGGATTAATGTCGCTATGCGGGGCACCACTGTATAGCACTCCCTTCACTCCTGCTTTCCTGCTGTCCCCAAAGGCTTTTCCAGGATAAAAGGGATCCTAAGGGAGCTGAGGAACATGGGGGTGGGGGAGAGTAGGAAACATTTAATTGATAAAATCTGGCCATTTCTGATGTCACCATCAGACTATACGGCACAAGTTTATGTTATTGGATTTCCACCTTTAAGTATTGTCTCAGATTCCCTCTACTTAGGAGTATCCTTTTATAGGGCTTCCCTTAGCCAAATTTAAGAATTTTTGTTTCCACCCTCAGCTTAGCTTTAACTTAAGCCCAGGTTTTTATGTTAGTCTGGACATTGAACTGTGAATGATGGAAATCCACTACCTGTGCATTTATGATTCATTTCAAATTCTTTTAAAGTACAGCACCGACAGCCATCTGTATGAGAGACAGTCAGACAGCTACATAGACCTAAGACATTCCCTCCAGTGTTGTGTCTAAACTGAAGCTGGGTTCCCAGATGTTCCTAAGCTGCCTTTTGCTTGCCATTTTATAAATTTATTTTCCTTTCCATTTTTGAAGAACTGACACTGTGCACTGTATTTTGAGTGATAATGTTGACTGAAGTTTTTTTCCCCCTGCGAAAGATGTGCATTTAAACTGTTGAGAGTGAGTGAGTGATGGTAGGGATAACTACTATTTGTGTCAAGGCTTTGTCAAGTCATTGTTGTAAAACCTACTTTACTGAATAGTGGCAGTACCTTCTAGAGTATTCATTCAAAATAAATTCTATGCCAGAATCTATTTAATCTAATGCTTAATACTGCACATCTACATTCTGCATTGTAAAACAGCCTCCTCTTTAGTCTAGTAAGTGAAGAGGTGTCATTTCTCAACAGCATATAATGGGTTATATGGCATCTTTGGACCTGTGGTTATAAAATATTTTTAAAGTTAAAATGAAAAGTACTGTTGTTTGGTTAATAGTGTGCTTTTTATATGCACTCACCCAGTAAATGTGCTTTAGCACAAAAACACTCTATGAGGGCCTAAAAGATGTGTTTTGTTACCCTAACTGTATTCTTATGTTTGTTGTTAAAAATCTATTTGATTTCTTTTTAAAATGTATAATTAAAAATCCATACAAATGGTGTACTTATACAGAAATGGTGAACAGAAATATATATTTGCCTCTAATATGCACTCACTTCCCTGAGCCAGCATAGATACAGTATTTATTCATCCCTCATGTTATTCAGTACGACTGAGATTTTCCACTTATACCCACATCTACTCTGATATGTGAAAACTTATCCTGAAAACATGCAACTAGTACTGTATTCTGCTATAAGGACTAAACTTTATTCCTTGTGTTTTTAAAACACCAAAGCTACATTTCAGAATCTTAAAGCTTTATTTATTCTAGGAAATAAAATCCTGTGATCTCTAGACTTCACAGGAGACCTACATGTATCTGGAAGAATGATACAAATGAGCCAGAGTGATGTATTAGAAATAATTTCTTTATGCAATAGCCTGATCCAAGAAAAGTAGTACGTTAAAAAATGGTAGGTATAATTTATAAAAGTCTTACAGTAACATGCAGTGTAATGCAAAAGAGGTCTGGCATAAAATTTGATTCTTTGGCATTCTTGACTGTTCTAATGCTTAGACAAAAAGCATTTGGAGTATTATATCATTGAATCATAGAATTGTTGTAGGGTTGGAAGGGACCATGGAGGTCTTCTAGTCTAACCCCCTGCCCAAAGCAGGAGACCTCATACCATCGTGGACCTCATACCATCCTGGACAGATGGCTGGCCAGTCTTTTCTTGAAAACCTCCAGTGATGGGGCACTCACAACATTGGGAGGCAAGAGACGATATCAGATAGTGAGAGACAAGAGCTGTTTACTCTAGCAAACAGAGCCTGCTCCCCTATTGCAAATTGTGTGTTCCCAATATCTGAGTCATATGTGGTCTATTTGACAACTCTTAGAACACACCAGACTCATAGAGCATTTATGCTTGGTAGATGCAGTGTTCTACCCTCAGAATTGCAGCAGGGTAGATTTCTGGGAATTCCCTGTCAAGAAAAATAGAATCATGAAGTTGGAAGGGGCCTATAAGGCCATCAAGTCCAACTCCCTGCTCAGTGCAGGAATACAAATCAAAGAATACCAGCCAAGTGATTGTCTAAATTTCTCTTCAACACTTCCAGTGCTGGAGCACCCACCTTTTCTTGAGGTAACTGGGTCCACTGTCGTACTGCTCTAAGAGTTAGGAGGTTTTTCCTGATATTCAACCGAAATCTGGATTCCTGTAACTTGAGCCCATTGTTGTGTGTCCTGTACTTTGGGATGGTTGAGAACAGATCCTGCCCCTCCTCTGTATATCAAGCTTTGCAGTATTTGAAAAGTGCTCTCGTATCTGGAAAGTGCTCTTCAGTGTTCTTTTCTCAACATGCCCAGTTCTTTCAGCCTTTCCTCACAGGGCTTGGTTTCCAGCCCCCTGACCATCCTTGTTGCCTGCCTCTGAACTTCTTCCAGTTTGTCAGCATCCTCCTTGTATTTCCTGGGTGTCCAGTTGCTTTCACTTGGGCTGGCTTGAACAAGAAGCAAGGAGCAGCCAAGAGGCCTTGCAGGTGTACCACTGCTGCCCCACACCCCTCGGAAAAAGGCCTGTAGCTTTTAGTTGCCCCTAGCCCTGGGTTGAAGCCCACCTTTCCTGTAGACTCAGCAGGCACTCCTGCTAACGATAGCATCTCCAGCACCTTTTCTACATTGGTACTGGAGTCTGGATGGGTGGTTGGGTCAGTAGAGGAAGTTATGTGTGGCAGGCCAATTGTGACAGCAGGTGCCATTGTTTTCTGACATGATTCCCAGCTGCTCCCTTAGGGACCTACGGTGCCAGAAGGAACCCTGTCCAGGAGTCTTTTCAGAGGATGTATTAAAACAAGTCCTCTGCCACTCTGCCTTTTCAGACTCCACGAAGTCTCCCCATCCACCTCTCTCCCCTCAAGCTTTATGACCCCAGCTCCTTCCCCAGGTGCTCGTCCTTCTCCTCCGCAGTTCCCTCCTTCTCCTGGGCAAGTGGACCAGTCCCAGCACCTGTGTGAGGTCTGGCGCATCTGGCAGGCCTTCCAGAGGGCAGTAAGCAAGATCAAAAGGCCTGCTCATGGTGCCAGAGGTGTATGTGGTGCCACAGACAGGAAGGTAGGGAGCCCTCCAGCCCTTTTTCTAGCTGTGCATCATAGTCTAGGCACTAGGATATATAATGGCACTTTTGGGATGCTTAGATCAGAATGGAGGTAACACATCCAACCTGTCCTGGAAGTTGCTAGACAAAATGGGCATTGATGGTTGTTGTGGGTTTTTCGAGCTTCTTGGTCGTGTTCTGAAGGTTGTTCTTCCTAACATTTCGCCAGTCTCTGTGGCCGGCATCTTCAGAGAACAGCACAGAGTGTCAAGAGCACAGAGTGGTGTCCTCTGAAGATCCGGCCACAGAGACTGGCAAAACGTTAGAAAGAACAACCTTCAGAACACGGCCAAAGAGCCCGAAAAACCCACAACAACCATTGGATCCCGGCCGTGAAAGCCTTCGAGAATACAAAATGGACATGCCTTTTTTATCTTAGGTTGCAGATTTTAGGTCCCATAAAAAAAGTGAATTTTTAATTATTCAACTTGTCCTTCCTTCCTTTGCTAAAAACAGGCAGGGATACTTAGACATTTGTCACTCTGTGCCAGTATAATTTGGGTTGGCTTGGACATCCTGCACCTTTACATGGATGAATAGAGGTGGTACCAATTGCTATTTCATCCCATGCACCAAAATGTTTTGAGCTAGGTGTTCTAAATGGCACTTGGCTTTTTACTTAGGAGCTAATGGAAAAAATGCACAAAGTATTTGTGAAGTGTGAGTTGAATGAACAAAATTAAAATTATGTGAGGGTAGATGGGGAATCTGACCATGATTTAAATATTTTGAGGTGCAATATTGGAATTGGCCTCTGGGAGGAGATTTTTTTTCTGTGTGTTTTTCCTGTACAGTGGTGCCTCACTTAGCAATGTTAATCCGTTCCGGAAAAAACATCGCTAAGTGATTTAATCGCTAAGCGATATGAAAAAGCCCATAGGAACGTATTAAAATGTGTTTAATACGTTCCTATGGGCTAAAAACCTACCTTAAACCGAAATTCCTCCATAGCGGTGGCCATTTTGGGTGCCTCTAAAACGAGGCAAAACAGAGGCTGCCATTTTGTTTTTGTGGCGGCCATTTTGGAACCGCCGATTAGCTGTTTAAAAAAGTTCGCTTTGCCATGATCGCTTCCCTGTGATCATCGCAAAGCGAATTTTAGCCATAGGGGACATCACTAAGTGATCGCTCCAGGATGGCCAAAAGTCCATTGTAAAGCAATTTCATCACTCAACTGAGCGATCGCTAAGCGAGGCACCACTGTATATGTATGTTACAAAAATCCTTTGATGATGGCTGGTGTGCTAGGGTGCTTGGTCAGCCAAACCAACTGTAACAGTAGTGATCTCCTTTTGTCTGATAGTAGTGAGTAACTCAACAAATATGATTGATTGATTGATTCGTTTATTTGTTTGTTTTAATCCTGCCATCTAGTGACAGAGCACTACTCTGGGTGACTAACTTCAATAAAGAGAATAATAATAATAATCCACTTAAAACATAAAGCCACGATTCATAAAAACCAATGAAAAACAAAACTTCTATGGCAGTGGCAAACAAACCCAAATTAATACATGTAGGTCCACAAGACGATCAGAGTGGGAGGATGTTGCCAAAGGCCTCTTTGAAAAGCTCAGCTTTTACCACATTTCCTGAAGGTCAGAAAGGAAGGAGCCTGCCATACATCCACAGGCAACACATTCTGTAGTGTTACAGGCACAACCAAGAAAGCTCTGTTCCTGGTGGTAGTTTTCTGTGTGTTTTTCCTGTACAGTGGTGCCTCACTTAGCGATGTTAATCCGTTCCAGAAAAAACATCGCTAAGTGATCTAATCGGTAAGCGATATTAAAAAGAGGTAAACACTCACAACCATGTAGACTGGGAGGTCTGGGTAGATGATCTTAAGGAGAGATGCTCTGACAGGTAGCAAGGCCTCAAACCGTGAAGGGTTTGTAAGTTAACACTAGCAACTTGAATTTGACATGGAAGAACACAAGTAGCCTATGCAGGTGAGCCAAGATTGGGGAGATGTGGTTATACCTCCTTGCTCTCGGTACTAATCCAGCCATTACATTTTGCATAGGCTGAAGCTTCTGTGTTGCCTTCAAAAGCAGCCCCACAGAGAGCATTGCTGTTCTTGATCCTAGAGATTACCAGCGCATGGGCCGGTGTGACTAGGGAGTTCCAGTCCAGCAAGGGCCACAAGTGTGCAATCTGTCCAAGATGAAAAAAAGGCAGACCTGGCCATGGCAGGGATTTGCTTCTCTGTGGTGAGATCCAGATTGAGGAGAAGCACCCCCAAATTGCAGACCTGGTCTTTTAGGGGAATGTTAGTTCATCCAGACCTGGTAAAATACTTCCCAGCTGGGCAGGCTCCCCTCCCAACAATATGATCTCCATCTTGTTTGGATTCAGTTTCAATCTGTTAGCCATCATCAAATCCATAACCAAGATCAAGCACCGTTCCAGGGTTCACACAGTTTCCACTGATGATGATGAAAAGAAGAGATAGAGCTGCGTGTCATCAGCTTATTGATGACCGCAAACTCCAGATCTCCAGATGACCTCCCCCAACATATAGTTGTTAAAGAGCGTTGGGGATATGATTGACTCCAGAATGCAGAAGCCACAGAGTTGAAACTAAATCCCCAAGCTGCACCCTCTGAATATGATAATTGAGAAAGAACTGGAGCCAAAGTAACACTAAACCTCCAATCCCTAAACCTGATAGCCTGTCCTGGAGGATACAGTGGTTGACAGTATTGAAGGCTGCTGAGAAATCCAGGAGGACCAACAAGGTCACACTCCCCTGGTCAGTCTCCCTTAACAGTCATGGAGCAAAACAACCAGAACTGTTTTGTTCCCACGGTGCAGCTTTTTAAAAAACTAACATTACAAGCTCTGGTTTTTACACATCCACATTGGTGGGGGAGCGGAGCAGTGCATCTGCTTCCACCTTTGGACTTCTGTGACACACTGCAAAATTTGCCTCTGTATTTTACTTGAAAATAAGCTCCACTGGCTTTAGTGGCACTTTCTTCTCACTGGACCAGCATAGTATCATTATGTTGTTTCCTTTATTTATGGTATATAGTTTCACTGCTACAAAAATTGAAGAAGAAATGCATTTTTTTCATGTTGCTATGCAAACTGATTGGGTGTTTCCACTGTAACACAAAGAAAATGGAGCATTAATGTCAGGATGTCTGGAAATCACTACCCTGCTGGATATGTTGCTTGGTGTTGTTAACCATACTAGAGTTGATCCACTGAATAAATGGAGATTTGGTGAGTTAATTGTTCTATAAGCTCCATTGATTTAAATTGGCCTACTCTAACTGCAACTTACTTTAGCATAGTCACAGCTAGAGTAGGTCCAATTGAATCGATAGAACTCACTAACTCTCAGTTGATTCAAAGGGTCTTCTCTAGTGCAATTTGCTATGCTAAGCAACAGCAATTTGGCCAATATGTACTATATCTTTACCTTTACTTTTATATTGGTAAAGTTACCTTTGAAAAAAGATGAAGGAGGTCAACAACTACTAGTTATGATATAGTCAGAAATGAGCAACAGTGTACATTGGTCACGAAATCTTAGCAATGCTAACATATGTTTCATGTACACAAATATAAACAAGATCAAATTAACTTTGTGTAATTTTTGCTTTATAATAAACATAATTCTTAGTTACGGAAATTAAAAATGCATATCCATGTTATATGATATTACTATGTGTACTTAATAATGTTTTCTTCTCTCTCTGTCATTTATAGGTTGTTAAAGGCCTTACATATTTATGGAGCTTAAAGATTTTACATAGGGGTGAGTTGTGGATTTCTTTTCAACATGTTCCAAGCAAATATCATCACTTGCTCTATTTTAGAGAAGGAATTACTCTAAAATCTTAAAGGTTAATTAGCTCATGGTAAGAGTCCTTTTTATTAAAGACAACAGCCTTCTTCATCTTTTGCATGAAGAAAATAAGGAATATATTCATAAAATCATAGAATCATGAAGTTGGAAGGGGCCTATAAGGCCATCGAGTCCAACCCACTGCTCAGAGCATATTAGACTCAATGTGCATATTTTAAGTGCATGTTCTTACTTAGATCAAGTTCAGATCTCCAGGGCTGGATGAACTCATATGAGTATTGAAAAATCACTATTATTTTCTTAAAATCATGGAGGATGGAAGTGCTGTATGATTGGAGAAGAGCTTACATTGTCCCCATCTTTAAAAAGGGCAAGAAGACCCTGGGAACTGCAAACCAGTCAGACTGACATCAATCTTAGGGAAAATTCTGGAGCAGATTATAAAGCAGTCACTCTACAAGCACCTTGAAAACAATGTAGTAATAACTAGAAGCCAACATGAATTTGTCAAGAACAAATCTCGCCAGACTAATCTTCTCTTATTTTTTGATTGGGTAGATGACAGGAATGCTGTAAACACTGGAGGCGTTCAAGAGAAAATTGGAAAAACCATCTGTCATATCTACTTTGATTTGGATTCCTGCATTGAGCAGGAGGGGGGTTGGACTCAATGGCCTTATAAGCCCCTTCCAACTCAATTATTGTATGGTTCTGATATTTAGCTGGGCTAAACATAAATTTACATAAATTTGCTCAAGCTGGGCTTGGATGTACTCATAAATGAATCAAAGTTTCCAAATAGAACCCAAAATTATGAGAATATTAATTATTTTTCTTGTCTAGAACTCTAAGTATTGTGAATAAGATTGACAAATGGATGTGAAGTGGATTGTGTTAAAAGACAGCCAGCCATTTACAGCAAGCTGTTGTGTGTATGTGTGTGCACATGCATGCCAATGTTTGTCAGCTATTTGACACCACACTGGAACTGCTCAGGTGTAGTGCTCCATGTCCTGGAGCCCAATCATCTCTCCCTTTGCCACACTTGATTCCTTTGCCACACTTCTTGCTGGGGATTGACCATTGTCAGTGCCTCTCAATTAGCTGGGATGCCCAATGCGATCAGATGACATGGGAAATATATGCACATGTCCACTGCTATCACATGTACCAACATTTTTTTCTTGTTAAACTCTCAGCATGGGGCTGCATTTTCATCCAAACCTCACAGTTACAGCTTCTGAAACATGTATGCTTGATAGCCATAAAAGAAAAAAACATTTGGCATGAACCTGCAGATTATGAGTACAGCAGAGATGGTTCTAGTGATTTAGCAATTTTGTTTTTAAATGAGCTAATCTGTGCATGTACCGCTCAATTCTCAAAATAACAAGATGAGAAATGCTCAGGTAGAGGGAAAACGTACATTTTATGTATTGTGTCGCTTCTTTTATTACCTCTCTCCAGTTCAGATCTCTGAGTTTGTATTACTCAGCTCCCTTGAACTTTGGAATTCCTCACTCCACAGCTTGTGCAATCATGGTGGAGACAATGTGGTTTTTAAAAAAATGATTTTGAGTAAAATGGATAGTGTTTTCAAAAATCTATTTGCTTTTGAATAAGGCAAGTGAAATGTTTCTGTATTCGACATCCTGACCCACTCCTTGACACTTTTGGAAATAACAAGGAAATAACTCCGTGTCCTTTTCATCCAATTCTCTGGTAAAAGTAGCTGAGATGGAGATGGAATGAAAAGACATTTGTCCATTCCATAAGGCTTATTTTGTATAAATAATCTGTGTTAAGGAAACACTTGTCATGATGGGAACATAATGTTCCATTTTAGCTTTTGTTTAAATTCTTTGCATTTGAAATTGAAGCATTAATCTCAAACAGATGCTCTAGGAAAATATTGTACATGTACCCAGTATTTTCTCTTAAATAAATTAATTCATAAATGTGATTTTTAAAAAGAAATAACATAAAATGTATAGTGGATTTTCTGATGCCTTGCTGGTTCCCACAGTACGTCGGTTTCAAATCTACTGAATGCTCTTGCAGGAAAGTATCAGCAATAAATACCTAGCCATTCTGAAAAGCAAATTCCTCCTTCCGAAGCCACCCAAAGTTAGCCCAATTGGAGCATAACAAAGTTGATGAAAGTAGATTTTTTTAAATGTAGACCTCTGTATCTTTAAAAGATAATGCAAATCCAAATATTGTTAAATCACCAAACCATAAGTAGTAAAGTTCTGGGCAGTAAAGTTCAGTAGGTACGGTAGTAAAGTTACATATTTTTGTGCTCAAAGCTTGCTACGGAGGCCGGAGGCCTTGGCCAAAGCAGCTGGCAGACTGGGATGGGGATTAGGGGCAAGCCAGGCCTTTGTCTTTGTCTGGTGTTATGCCTGCATGAGCTGTGGCCCAATCTGGCCCAATTTGGGGACTTTTTGCTTAAACCATGTATTTTATACCATCTTTGACTGTTGAATTCTATAGGATTCAAAAGCTTACCTTATTTGTAACCTTTTCGTGATCCAATAAAGTTCTTGCCTGGTTCAGATCTGCACTCCTATGAATGGATCATACAGGTATTTTTGTATCTGCCATTAATAATGCTACTTTTAGATGCAGTCTTAGCCTAAAAGGCTCATAGGGAGATGCTTTCATGTCCCGGATTCCTCTTTGTAATTGCAGGCTGATAGCAGATATGAGGAAAGAGTGAGAGAGTTCTCCTTAAAAGGAAGAATAAGGAAAGTGGTGGGTACATTCATGCATAGAGAGAATAGTATGAGAGTGTCTTTCAAAGCCCTTTAAGTTGTTCATCTCCCTGGTACTTTAGTGCCATATTAAATTAAAGAAGCTTTAGTTTAGGATTAACAAAAGGAAGTTTACCATACTGCTATAACTGGTTACCATATTATATAACTACTTAACAGAATTCACTGCTTGCATAGATGTCCTTTTAAAAGACTTATTCATGGATATTAATTGGCTAGATGGAGCTGCCTTGTTGCAGAAGCTGAAATTCAGTGTGATGCTTGTGGTAGCATCAGAATTTTGAAATGAGAACACCCTTGTCCTTTCCATTGAATTTCCCAACCTTCCGAAACAAGTCTTGAACAAGCTTTAGAAATCTAGAGGGGAGAAAGGGAGAATCGCACTCCTTCTTGATTTCACCCTGTGGAGTTGCTTCAGTGGGTGCATTGGCAGTTTGGGATACTGACCGGAGGCAGCATACCTTCTGAGCAGAGAACAAATGGAGGAAATGTGGATGTGAGGAACAACATGGGAGAATCCTGCTGTGTGGGATTTTCATTGATCTTTGGTCGCTGGTGAAAACAGCCTGCTTGGCTTACAACACAGGTGTTGTTCTTAATTAAAGCTTTTAGGACATGGTAGAAGAGGTGCATCTAATTTCAGATTTTGTATATTCTTCAGAATGTATCTATAGGGAAATTCTAATTCAATATAGAATGTAATACTTGGGAGTTTTTTAATGTAGCTTTCATTGGCATTGTGTTTTAAAAAGATGTTGTCACTCAACCCAAGCCTTTGTTAGTCTAGAGAAAGTACAGTGTGTTGCTTCTTTGCATGCTCAAAGGTGAGACAGCATGGTGCCTTTTGCCAGATTCACGGGGCCTAAACAGTTTTGGAATTCTCTTCCCCAGTCTTTGCTATTCCATAACAATCTGCATAACTTCATGAAGATGTTTGATTACCTGTCTCCTTCCCATCTTTTTAACTTTTTATCTTCACTGTTTAACTGTTTAGCCTGTACCATGGACTGTGTTGTTGCTGTACTTCTAGTAAATTCTAGAAATTTTAGGCACTTTTTACCAAATATTATTGTGATGTATTTAATATGAAGCAACCAACATGAATCTGACCCAACTCTGGGAGGCAGTGGAAGATAGGAGGGCCTGGCGTGCTCTGGTTCATGGGGTCACAAAGAGTCGGATGCGACTAAATGACTAAACAAACGGACGAATTTAATATGAAGAAAAGCTGTGTGATGAGTTTAATTGGCATGTTTTGCTTTCCTCTACAGATGTGAAGCCATCGAATATGTTGGTGAACACGAGAGGCCAGGTCAAGTTATGTGACTTTGGGGTTAGCACGCAGGTATGGGCTAGCCCTTCTTCAGACTCTCTCTTCACTCCATTTTCTTTACTCTGTTTTCGCCCTCTTCCTGCTGCTCTCCAAACTGGCCTCCAAACAAACTATAGCCTGCTGCAACAAACTGGCCTCTGCTGGGAATGTGCGATTCATCCTTTTAATCTCCTGGTGACTTTTCTTCATCAAAATATGATTGTTCATTGTTTAATGACAGTAAAAACTGCTGATATTGTAATTACTACTTACGAATAGAAAGCTCCATTGATATGCAGCTTGCCTCTGAAAGCGTTTGGGCCAAACAAAAGGGAGGGCAGAACAAGAGGAGCGCCTGGGGAGACTGACTGGCCCACAGTAAAAATTAATATTGGGAGCAACAATAGAAGTGGGCCTTGACAATGTGCAGAACAAATTTTAATTAATTTCCATTTTGGGCTTCCCCTGAGAACCTCTGTGATACTGACCCATGAGCTTACGGCAGTGTTGAATTGAATTGCAGCCACCTTTCTTCCCAGCTAAACATGAGGACCAAAGAGAAGGTCACTGCTGTATTATACGTTGTCAAAGTCTGTTGTCCCTCCAGCATATTTAGTGTTCATTCCAGCCTGATAATGAAGGTGGCTTTATTCACATTTTGAGCCAGCTGACAGTGGGGGGAGGAGGAGGAGGACTGCCTGCATGTGCTCAGGGGGAAAAAAAAACACAAATAGACTTTTTATATCCAACTGGTTGGTGGGGTACTAAAAACTCTAAGCATCCTGTTTAAAACACAATTGTCTTTGAGGTTATCTGCTATAAACGGAAATGTTGTGTTTGTTTTAAATTAGGGCTCTTGTTCCAAAGGGAAGAGGACTTTAATCATTTGTAATGCCTTCACAGTCAAATTCGTCTCCCCTCCCCTTTAGATAATTTTTAGCTGATTTATACATAGGATGATTGTAGGTTAAATGAGGAATAATTGCCCGTTTTATTCCCACATTATCTTTATATGGCTCTAAGAAGCTGTTTTGTCTGATAGCTGGTGAATTCCATAGCCAAGACGTATGTGGGGACAAATGCATATATGGCGGTAAGTAAATGTCGGCAGATAGCTTTCATTACAAACTAAAATCCTTTAATGGACTGCTCTGTTTTGTCTGCAGTTTAGTTAAGCTGTCAATTCTTCTAACATGTGTGTCTTGAATTAATATTTTAAAAATATATATGTGAGGTTAAAGAAACAGTCTTAATGATGTTAAGTGCAAAATATGTTATTAAAAATCTATAGTGCATGTACTGAACTCCCATGCATGTAAGGTCTTACTTTTTACTTCTAGGAAGGATGCATCTCTCGGTGTGCATCCATAATAAATGGCACTGGCCATTTGTATTGTGCTTTGCATGTATGTAAAAAGATACAGAATTCTCTGGAATGAAAACTGAGGGGGATTTCTTTTCAAATCTTGAAGGCTAGGAACCTGAGTTTTACAAGATGAATGACAACAACACTTGAACAAAAGTAACAGAGTTAAAAATACATTGATCAAAATCCACTTATGTTAATATTGCCTGCCAAAGTGTGATAGTGTCACTGGTGGGGGGGGACTTTAGATAAATTGAGTACTTCCGCCTTCCATGGCTTGTCCAGTCCATAAGTAATTTGTTTCATCCAATGGAAACTGATGAGCAACTTAAGACAAAAGATTTTTGGTCAATATGTGCAAGAGAGTTATTTATGTAAAATAAGGAACAATTGTTCTAAGCCTGCATCAGGAACTGCTTAAGTGGTAGCATAGGTCACGTGTATGTTCTGGTCATTCAGAAAGAATAGCAAATGTACAGTATGAAGGACAGTCATTCTCTTGCCAGACAGTGCACAGTTTAAATATGTAATAGAGATAATTGACCTTAATCTGGTGAGCTGTTTGGGAACTGAGATCTTAAAGGGAACAGTTTAGTCCTACCAATGGCCAAGGCAGTATGAGGCCTCAGGATAAGAGGCTGGTCTTCCTCTTTTGCATGCTCACAGGAACAGTTTCTCCTACCTGCTGCTCTTCATGCTCAGTAACAGAACTCCTAATTCAGCCCTGTGACCCTCTCATAGCTCCATGGTTCAGGTACTTAGAAAAAAATGCAAATGTTGAGTGCACATTCAGTCTGCAGGCCTAGTGTCATACTGGAACCCACTCTTCATTGGAGATGAAAACAGATAGTAAGACCTTTGACACTTTCCACACATGGATGCCAAGGCAGGGATCCCAATGGGTCACTTTGTTGCTGCAGAAAAAAGGAAGTGTTCTTGTACTCCTGGTTTTAGAGCTAGCTCGTGATCAAGAATGGGAACATTTTGAATGATAAGCAATGCAGACACTACTTTTCCTTGCTTTTCCAGTCATTGATCTGCCCCCCCCCCCAATGACCAGTGTCTGTGTATTTGTGTGTTACTGCTGCTGGAAAAGAAATGATTTAGGTGGGAAAATCTTCAAATATAATAATTTATCTAAATCCATCTCTTCCGTTTGATACCTTTAAAAGCAGTAATAATTAAATTGTGTTATTCTTTTAAATGTACAAACCTCAATTACACATCAATTTCCCAGGTGTGCATTAAAGAAATTACTTTTTTCTTATTGTTTATGGATGGCTGTGATGCATCCATCTGTTAATTGAAAAAGTGAGGATTAAATCTATGAAATGTTTCATCAGTTCTTTGTTAGGACTGATTTGCGTCATAAAAGTGTTTGCTTCCAGTTGTCAGATCTTACTTTTTCTTGTTATATTTTTGTTCAGTTTTATATTTACCAGTAGCAATGGACGGAAAGGAGTGGAACTGTATCACATGCTATCTTGTGCATATGGTACAAGATGGACAAGATGTAATGGTTTTGCGAACCCCTAACAGTGCCCCTTTTTGTTTGCAATGGCCACAGGACTGAACTAAATGTGAACAAGAAAAGCCAATTGATTTGTCTCAGACAATGAAGACTGTGTAGCACAAAACAGATAGAAATTATTCACCTTGTATGTGAATTTCGCTTGATGGAATTTGTACAAGGATAACTCATACCACCCATCTTTCTTTCCAAAGAATAAAGCATCAATTTTTCTTGAGGCCCAAAGGTCCTTCACTTTATGAGTGATGGAACCACTCTTCCCACCCCAAAGACCTTCATAGATAAACACTTACTGACCACTTCAAGCTCCATGCTCTAAGATGTTTACCAAGGGGCATCTTTAATGGTGGATCAGGCATTCCATGCTTGGCCTAATGTTGCCTGGCATGAGAACAACTCAATTTTTTTCTCTCAAAATATAAAAAGTGGTTTTGCCCCCTTTCTGGCACATCAGCTTTGTTACTTGCAATTCAATGTGGGGAGTCTGCAAAGTGATACCTAAGCAACATGACTGTTTAGACAATATACATTGCTAATTAGAAGCTCAATATTCAGCTTATTTGCTTACAGTTGTCCTGAGCACTGTTAGAAAATATAAGGGGGTCTCTACTTAAGAACGTCTCTACTTAAGAACAATCCAACTTAAGGTTGTCCTGAGCACTGTTAGAAAATATAAGAAACAGACATGTCAAAACTGAAAGTGAGAGGTGAAAAGTGGTAGTTGGATATGTGCCTTGGAGCAGTATTCCTTTGCTTCTAGTGGATTTAGCATATTTTGGTTGAGATGTGAGGAAAATATTTCTCTGGATCTGCTTGTAGAGAAAGCAAGTACTATCAGCATTTATTTGCATAGTTTATTCTGCACTTAATATTATTTTCCATAATTTATTCATCTTCTGCTGCTAGTTAAATGGAGGAGCAAAAGGTGTATGTTGGTACTGAAAGTAAAAGCAAGATTTTACCTGACATCGGACCATTTCCTAACACTTTGTGTATTTGTGGAGGTGCGGTTCAGGCTATCCATTCTCTGCCAAATAAACGTTTCAGACTTTTAAGGTGCTACAAGACTGTTTATGGTTTTTGCTCCAACTGACTAACTACCCACTAGAAATATTTTGAAATTTATTTGCAGATGAGGAGCATGGATATTAAACAAAAAATACACTAAAATTTTCAGGAAGCAAAACATTGTATCAAGGTTTTTTATTTTATGTTATTTCCTTCATGTGACACTGCAACAACACCTTTTGTTGTGGTGGTGGAGGGGGGCAGTCAAATCAATTCTGACTTTGGCAACCCTTTGGCAACAGGTGTGGAGCTTGGGGGGTGTTCCTGGATTCATCCCTGAACCTGGATGCCCAAGTCTTGGAAGTGCACAATTTGCATAATTAAAACGAGTGCACCAGCTACATCCGTTTCTTGAGAGATCTGATCTGGCCACTGTGATTCACACCCTAGTTACTTCCTGGCTGGGTTACTGTAATGCGATCTATGTGGGGCTGCTGATGGAAAGTGTCAGGAAACTCTTAACGGGCCCAAAATGCAGCAACCTGATGGCTGGCTGGGGCTGGTTACAAGGATCACATAACCCCCCCTTGTTGCAGCAGCTCCACTGGCTGCCAATCAGTTACCGGGCACAATTGAAAGTGCTGGTTTTAACCTATAAAGCCCAAAATAGCCTGGATTCCAGCTATATCTCAAGGACCATATCTCCTATTATGAGCCAGCTTGGGTGTTAGGATGTCTCTCAGTCCTGCCACCTGAACAGGTGTATCTGACGGGGACACAGAAGAGGGCCTGATCTCTTGCTGCTTCCAGCTTTTGGAGCTCCCTTCCACAGGAGGACAGGCCATCTTTATTGTCCTTCCACAAGCAGGCAAAGACCTTTCTCTTCAGGCAAGCCTTCCCTCACTAACCAGCTACCTGTGTGTGAATTTTAGATAGATTGTTCTGTGTTAGTGTTTTGACTTTTTAGTGCTGTGTTTTCCATTTTGTGTTTTTCATTTCTCAGAGTGACATTTTTTAAATTTCTGTATACTTAATTGATCTTTGACTTAATATTGCCTGTTAATGATGTAAGATCCCTCCTTATCCATTTTTTGATAGTTTAAATATCATCTTTTAATGATGTTAACCACCATTCTGTACTCATTGCTTTCAACTTTAAATATTGTCTTTCATTGTTGTAAGCTGCCTTGAGTCCTTTTCAAGGAGAAAGGTGGGGTAAAATATTTTAAATGAATAAATAAATACTCAAAGCCTTATATTTTCAGCATTTCTATGTTAGAATTCTGTTTATTTGCTGTGGTTCAATGTGTTTTTTTAAAAAAAGACTCTGAGCTGAGCAGTACCTTTATTGCATCATTAAAATATTACAAAAAGGATGAGCTTGTGAACTATTAATCAGATGTAGATCTTATAAATTTGCAGAATGTAAATCCAATGCAAAGTAAGATGTCAAGCTAAAAGCTCGCAAGGCATTTCCTAGCCCAGAGGTTTTTTTTCCCCATGTGGATCCTATGGCTACTCTTTTTAAAATTAACCTTGTAGATAGGGTGCTATTTTCCCTCTCGTGGCTATCCAGATCATGAAGCCACCTTAGGACAATTTTCCCCTGCGTAGCAGCTGTGGTGGTGCTGGGAATGGCTGTCTCACACCGCAACATGCACTGCAGTTCAAGCCTGCTCACTCGTTTCTGTTCAGCTTAAGCAAAGGGCGCCCCTTCCCAGAAAAACATGACAAGTTTGCCATTCTTTATTGAAACTCAGTTTGATAGAGCTGTAGTCTGTTCTAGGTGGAGTTTTGCTTGTGGGCTCCTGTGTCATCTAGAAGGCTGAGTCTGAAAGATCATTTAGGCCGTTGTGTCTGTGTTTTTTTACTTAACATTTACTTGGCGCTAAAAGCTCCTGACCTGGGATTAGCGGCTGCAAGGAAGCATCCTCAAGCACGTTCGACTGGCACTAATTTGGGCACATTTGTTTTCCTCTAAAGGCTTCTGGGTTATTACAGAATGGAGAGAGGAGGAGTTGAGCAAGGTGCCTGAACTAGACAGGTGCATTAACAGCACAGTGGGAAAGAGTCTCCTCGAGTCTTTTTATTGCTGCATTTCACACTGTATTCGACCTTGGCGATACTTAGAGCATAGCATCTGAGTAGCTGGCTGGCTATGTTGTGTTCTTTGCCATCTGGAATGGTATTAAACTGGCTGTTAATTGGTGTTAGCCAAACCTCTTTTATTTGCAGATTGTGTTGTTCATTAGCTTCAAACATTGAAAGGAAAGCAGAGTTTGTATGACATTCTACCTTGCTTATTTAATACAAGCAGAAAAGTATGTTAGATGTGTTAGATGCAAGACACAGGGCTAGGATTGTGTAGTAGGAGGAAGAAGAGTGATGCTGTGGGTCAAGTGTGGGAAGAAGGTAGCTGGAAATAGGTCTGTAGATCTCTGCGGTAGATTGGCATGGATTTCTGACTCCTAACGGCGGCAAAAGAATGAACACCCCATCCCAACAATTCAGCTTAAAATCTGCTGCTGAAATTATAAAAGCTTGAAGTAAATAGAAGTGTGTTTTGCTGATGAAACCATGCGTCCCATTGTTTCCGGTAGTCATTCAAACTGATGGTGCCCTTTTGCACAAGCATTCAGTTGGCAGTTCCTGAAGTTCAATTAAAAGAAAAATTCAAAGTTGATCCCATTATCCATCTCCATCTTGACTGTTACAAGACTTCTAATTGTTTGTTACATATATATGCCTTTGTTTTAATCTTATCAAAGACTTTGTAACTAAGAGGGATTAAAAATAGAAATACGTACAGTATATACTGGAGTGGTATTAATATAGTGAGGACTGAGATTGTGTCAGCGGTGCCATTTTTAGGGTGCTGCAGATGGAGGGAACCTTAAGTTGCTCAAACTAGGAGGAGGTAAGAAGGGAGATACCCCAAGGCTCAGTCCTGGGTCTGATGTTCTTCAACATTTTTATTAAGGACTTAGATGAAGGGTCCAAATTTATGTATGACAGAATCGGGTGGAATAGCTAATACCTTACAAGAAGGAAACAGAATTCAAAAATATCTTGACAGGCTTGAGCACTGAACTGAGAACAACAGAATGAAATTTAACAGTGATATCTGAAATGTTCTACACCTAGGAAAAAAGGAATAAAATGCACAGTTACAAAATAGAGAATATGTGGCTCAGTAATACTACATGTGAGAAGAATCTGCAAAATATGTTAACATATATTTTGTTTGTAGATGACAAAACAAAATATGTCAACATTTTTGCAGTGCATAACAAATGCTATTTTAGAATGCATTAAGGATGATCAGGAGGCCAAAAACTAAGCCTGTGAAGAAAGACAGAAAAAACTGAGCAATGTAGCCTTGAGAAAAGAAGACTGAGAGGAAGACACAGTGGTACTCCTCAAATACTTGAATGGTTGTCAGAGGAGAGGCAGGATATTTTCTTGATCATCCCAGAGTGCAGGACATGTAATCATGGGCTTAAATTACAGGAAGCAAGATTTCAGTTGAATATTTATTTATTTATTTATTTATTTATTTATTTATTTATTTATTTATTTATTTGATTTATACCCCGCCCATCTGTTCTAAAAGACCACTCTAGGCGGCTTCCAATATAGTAAAAACAGTGAAATAATACAAAAACCACAAACAATTACATAAATCATATTGTAATAAACAGAATACAACAATAGAATAGAAAATACATAAGGAGAGAATAAAGAAAAGTCAGATATTAACTGGAGGGAAGGCCTGAATGTATAGCCATGTTTTTAATTGACTTTTAAAAGTGTCCAAAGTGGGAAAAACTTCCTGTTAGAGCAGTAGAATAATGAATCCACTTACTTCGGGAGGTGGCAGGTGTTCCAATGCTAGAGCCATGGAAGAGAAAACTAGATAGCCATCTGTCAGATATACTTTAACTTGGATTCCTGCACTCAGTAAGGGATTGAACTCAATGGTATTTTATGCCCCCTTGCAACCCCATTATTCTAACTCTGCCTTTGAATCCTGTGCCATAAAAGCATCTGAATAAACAGTGAATTTAGTTCCCACTTTCCACGTCATACCAGTATCTTCAAACTAATTCCAAGAAAATCAGATTTTGCTATCCATATACATTAGTACAGTAAATACCTTGATGCATTTTTTCACGATTATACTTTTCCCATCCTAGTTTCATTCTGTTATTGCCAAATCTTTTATGTTCCTGAAGTGACATTGTTAACTTGGGTCTTTGTCTGCTTGTGGAGGGATGTGTTTTCTTTGGAGGGAGAGTAGTGGTGGGAGTCGGAGAACACAGTTATTCGTGGCAGGGATTGATATTTTGGGGAACAGCAATATGGAAAAGAAAGAAGGGCAGGAGGGTATAAACTGTCCCTTGATTTAAATAGTTTGGATAGCCTTTGCATCAGGCCCCCTGGGTTGAAAGTGCTGCCACTAGATGTCGACACAAAGAACAGCTATCCAGGACTTGATCCTGAACGAATGAGCTTGCTGACCTTGCTTGCATTATATAGCGGTTGGATGAGGTTTGGTTCATAGACATATGGTTACATAGACTTTGTTGGACTTCACTCAGCTTTGTCCACCAGAGTTTTCTGTGCAGCAACAGGCAAGACCTAGGAGATAGAGAGGTAGAACTGCAATAGCCTGCCATGGTTCCATCGTTATCATCAGGTGCCACATCCTCCAGTTTTCCCAATTTGAATGTGTGTACTGTATTTGAAAGCAGGAACTTGGGACAGGGTGGAGATTCTGTTGTTGTACTGCCCACCCCACTACTCAACAGTCTCACCTTCTGAGCTGATCTTGTGGGCGGTGTTGCAATCTTCTCAGCTTGTTGTGCTGGGGGACTTCAGTGTCCATGCCAAGGCAACGTTGTCAGGAGTGGCTTAGGATTTCATGTCCCCACATTACAACCATGGGTCTGTTGTAAATAAAATCTGCGCCCACCCATGCTGTACTGGAGTAGATGTTGGTGATCTGGGTGTGGAGGAATTATCTGCAGGTCCATTGTAATGGACAGATCATTATCTGATGGGATTTAGACTGACTGGAACTCAGGGCCATTGCAGGAGTAGGGGACTAATTAAAATGTTCTTTCCCACAAGGAAACCAGGTTTCCTGGTGCTCTTGGGGAGTTTCCTGTTGCCTCGGCAGGGGGCTGTGTTGAAGTTCTGGTTGCTCTTATGTGGAAATGGCCAGGGCTGTTGGGATTATTGCTCCTAAGTGGCCCCTCCCACAAGTAGAGTCAAACTGGTCCCTGATTTACTGGGGAGATGATGGCGATGAAACGAGTGGGACAGAGACTAGAGCTACAATAGTGGAAAACCCAGGAGGGAATCGGATTGAACATGGGCTAGGGCCCATTGGAAAGCTACTCTGTGGCAGTGGAAGCAATGATGCATAGTCATCCAACAGATCTTTTTTGAGTGGTCAAGGGCCTATTACATGCTGGCCCACAGGAAGAGAATGTAGCCCACATTGTAGCTCACTGTGAAGAATTTGGATGTCATTTTGCAGGTAAAATCACACTGACTTGGATGCTGTAGTTGATACAGGTCCTGTAAATGTAACTGTGAAGGCCCCTCCTTGCCCTGTGTTGATGGTTGAGTTTCAGTTTCTGCAGCCTGATGAATCTGGACAGGACCCTTGGAGAGGCTACCACATGTCAGTTGGACTCTTGCCCTTCCAGACTTATAAAAGCTGCCAAGAGAGGCTACCACATGTCGGTTGGACCCTTGCCCTTCCAGACTTATAAAAGCTGCCAGAAAAGTACTGGCTCAAGGGTAGGAGTCATGAATGTCTCCTTGCAGCAAGGTAAGATGCCAGGATAACTAGAACACAGAAACTAGAGGCTTGGAGATCCAGTTAATCTAAACCCCAGCAAGACCATTAGCAAAAAAGCCCTCCTTGGGTCCCGTGATATTGGCTAATCACTAGCCAATCTCTAATGTTCCAGTCTTGGGTAAGGTGCTGGAGCAGGTTGTGGCTTCTCAGTACCTTGGATTCATGGATGAGACAGATTATTTAGATCCATTTCAATCTGGCTTTTCAGCACCTTGGGACACTGCTTTGGTCACCTTGGTGGATTACCTGCACTGGGAACTGGGTAGGAGGAGTGTGTCCTTCTTGATTCTGCTGGACCTCTCGGTAGTTTTCAGTACCGTCAATTATGGTATCCTTTTAGGATGTCTCTCTGGGATGGGACTTAGAGGGACTGTTTTGCAGTGGTTTCAGCCCTTCCTGGAGGGGAGAACTTAGATCCTGATGCTAGGGGACACGCATTTGATATGCTGGCTGTTTGCTTGTGGTGTCCCCCAGGGTTCTGTTTTGTCCCCTGTTACCATTTTAATACAGTGTTTATTTAATTCTGTTTTAATGTGTGAATAATATATTGCTTTTAGGTGTCTTTTTAAATGATTTAAGCCACCTTGGGTCCTTTTATATATAAAGGCAGGATAAAAATATTTTAAATAAATAAATAGTGTAATTTATACCATTAAATTCAACTATCTCCCTAACCCTAACCCACCCCACTTGTTTTTAACAGCCAGAAAGAATTTCAGGAGAGCAATATGGCATTCATTCTGATGTTTGGAGTCTAGGAATTTCCTTTATGGAGGTAAGTGCATTTGTATGATTTCATATAACTTAAACATTAGATCTGAGCTTCAATTCATTGTTGTTGTTTTGAATTCTCTGTGCCTAGTGAGCCGGGATGTCTCAGCTGATGCCCAAACGTGGCAAGCTATTTTCTTCCCTGTCCCCCGTTGAATGAGGCTTTCATGCCAATGACCTGGGCACTGATTGAAGCACCTTTTTTACAGCTCAGGTGACAAGGCTGCCTTGGAATGGAATGTCTTAATGTACTGCAGGATGATTATGCTTTGGAGCATGCTTTTCCATGCTTAGTGGCTTAAAATGATACTGCTCAGTGTTTCTGTTACATATAGTATGGATTTGCTCTACAGGAAGACATTTCCCTGCAGGTGAAAAGTCTCCATATTTCCTTCTTGAGCCATAGAGTGAATTTGAGATTCAGACTACCTTTTGCTGTTTGTATATACCTGCAACATGGGTCACCAGGTGTTTGGTGCGATTTGCATTACATGTAACCTAAACAGGGCTTTGACACTCTGGAGCACTGGAGGGTGTAGCGGATGGGGTGCTTCAGGTTAAGGTTTGTGCTTCTCTTGGTCAGAGCAGAGTGAGGGGCCAGATTGGAACGTCCATAATAGAATTACCTTGTTATTGGACTGTTCTTCTCCTGCTGCCCTTTTGGTATTGTGGGAAGAATTTGTGTGTGCTAGATATTTTCATCATCACCATCATAATTGCAACCTTTCAGGAGGGTGTTTTGTCGTAGTGAGCTATTCATTTATGAGGGGGGCCACAGAGTTTTCTCCTTTCACTCCTCTCTCTTTTGGTTTTGCCGTGCAGCTGTTTTCCTGATTTGTGTGACTCAGCCATGAGGCACATCCCTCAGCCTAACCTACTTCACAGGACTGTTGTGACGATCAATTAGGAGCAACCCTTCTACTTCTGCCTTGTTAAAATTGCATGGTTATAACTTCATATAAACAGCCAACTCACTAATTATTCTGGGGGCAGGATTTACACTTGACAGCAGGAATTTTCTGCATACAGCACAGGGAAGGATGGTGTCATCCTTTCTGCATCCAGGCGCCCTGCCTCTTTCAGCCCAAACTGCTTTCTGTCTCTTGCTCCATCTGTCTCCCAAGTTAGCTGCATGGAACAATTTGTCTCTGTGCACCTTGTTAATTGGTATATCATCTGTTCCTCAGAGACCTCTCTTCAACACGATGGTTGTTTTATTGGAGTGGTTTGAGTGATGTGTTAAATGAGGAAAGTGAGGGAAGCTGTGTCGAGAAAGGTGAAGGTGATGCTCTGGGAAGCCGTGCAAGGTCATTGCCATGAAAGTCGTGCTGCTGTTGACCCTGGGATGGGTCAAATAGCATTCAGAAATGGAAGTTGGAGTTTTATGTCGGAATATCCAAATTCCGCCTTTTGAATCAAATTTAGCTTCTAAGTTTGTATATTTTTTGGGGTTGCTGGATAATAAAGCTAAAGAGGATATTTCTGACCTGGGATCTAGTACTGAAAGTCTGCTAGTCAAACAGCGTGGTAGCCCTAGGAGGACTTGACCAAAGTTTACTGCTGGATGGCAGAGAGCCTTTTCTGTGCTGTCAGTTCGGTAGCCATGTGGTAGAGTAATAAGCAGAGAGTTGGAGAAACTCAATTTCCAGGTTGTTTCTAAATCACCAATAGGCTGTGATCACTATTGTTCCCTACCGGAAATGGTTTCATTTACCAGCTTACCTTCCAAGGCCCCTCAAAAAGAGCAACTCACTACCTCAGCCTGCAGGACAGGTGGTCTGGAGACCAATGCAGTCAGGCTGCTGAGTTTTTTCCTTCAGATCATGTGCTTGATTTTTCTAATTCTGTAGTCAGTGCAATCTTTCTTTCTAACAACTTTTTTTAATACACTTAGAATATAGAGTTTTGTAAAATGTGGAGAACTGTTTCAAATTGGATGAGACTTTTTCTCCATATGATCCGGTATTGTTTACTCTGAAAGTCAAACCACATGTTACATGACTGTCTTGAACAGACCACTTTTGGGTGAAATAAAAATATAGTCAGGACTCAGGATCAGGATCAGAGGCTTGTGACAGTTTTGTTTTGAAACCCCTACTTCCCCATCTGCTGCATTTTGGCACTGAAGGCACTGTTTTCAGAAAACAACACCCTTCAGGGTGAACAACAGCAGATGTGGGTGGGTGGGATGATGCAGTAGGGAACGGGTTTGCAGCCACAATCAGGAGCATAACTGCCTTTTATTCAGAGTAAATGTGACATTTCTGGGCATGCTTTTACAATTAGAACACCATCGATCCTCTATATTACTTGCCACCCATGTATGTTTGCTTGTTTGTCTGTCCTCTGCATTTTGAAGATTGTACCTTAGTTCTTCCATGTTAAAAATAATTGCCATGTTATGAGAGGCTGGTTGCAGCTTTAAGAAAAATGTCCCCCTTGTCTTGACAACAAGACAGGCAGCAGCTACAGCACTAAGAGGTGCATCCCTCAACTGCACTGAGTGACAAGGCAATCTGCCATTTTAACCTCCTCTCTCCCGATCTCATGCTTAGAACTATGTTTCAAGGGTACTGGGTGACAAACAGATAATCTGGGCAGGTTCCACTTGGCTCAGGGCACCTGCACCGTGCAGTAAAGATGGGGCAGGTGTGTATCAGAGGAGGCATCAGGTTGATGCTGGATCTGGCTGTGGCCCTTCCTCTGTGGACACTTCTTTTTGCTTTATGGACATATGTGGCTTCCATCAGAGTATAAAATAGTTTCAAGGCCAATAGTATATTTTTGGATAAGCTGCAGTTTTATTCAGGTGCTTTCTTCCTGAGTAGTCAAACTAAATTTAAACAGGTATTACTCCTGTCAGTGCCGTTAACACTTCGGTCAGCATTTTTCATGCAGACTCTTGTTTTGCTGATATGAATCAACATCCAGAGTATTTTGACAAGTTTCCATAAATCGTCCATTTGTCTTGGTTTATGCTTTTCTGTGGCTGACACAAAGCTGTGAATATAATTTATCTGAAAAATAAGCTGAGAATAAGGAGAACCATCACAGAAGAATTACTACTATGTTTGATATCCGTCCCACCACGGTTCCCTCTAAGGTGCATGACTGACTGCGCAAGCAGTTCCCCTCCCCAAACCCAGCTTTCCTCCCCCTTCGCACACCCACAGTGATTATTTCCGGCCCCTTTTCTTCCATTTGCAATGGAACCCTGCACCGGGGGCGGGGATGGAGGCTCACACCCAGGGGAGTGGACGCGCCACCCAGCAGGGCTGAAAATTAGATGGGACATTGGTCCCCATAGAGCAGAAAAATAGTAGTACTGAGACAGGCGTCTTGACACAGCCCCTCCATTAGAAAAATCGAGACACCAGCTTTACGCAAAACATACCGGGGGGTCAGGAGCAGTCCTCTGAGGCCCCTGTTGTACCTTTCATTGGCAAAGCTTTGTGTGTCTCACAGTCTGGTGGTCTGCTCTAGTTACCTATCCTTGTCTGCTGTCCTCAGGGGTGGTGGCGGATACTTCCCAGTATTGCCAGGATTGAACTAAGACAATGTCAGTTTTGCCAGCTGCTATATGAGGGTGAGAACACCACCTTGTCTTTTACCACAGGTATCAAAATGTCTTGGGCCAGTTCTGGAGACCTTGATTCTCCTGATGATAGAATTTCCAACTGTTTCTTAAGATCACTCTAATAATTTTTGAGTATTTAAAGAACAAATAGTCTTATTGTACAAATAAGGGGTTCCCTCCTATGCATGTAGACCCTGGGGATGGGGAGTGCAGCCCAAGTCTACATAAAAACAGTTCCTTAGGAAAATGCTGGGTATTACCACTGTTGGAAGTCTCCAGGATTTCCCTCTTAAATAGGTTCCCCCTACATTATTTAACATGCCAAAATGCCCATTTTTCAAAACCAGAAGTGGATGTCTGTCAACCTTTGGTTTCATTCCTTTCCAGTTTTGCTTGCCTAAGTGGTCCTCAGTGGATCCTGAAAATTGTCCCTTACACCAGCCTAAGTTACCCAACCCCAGTCTTGGAGAAAGTAGGTGAAAAAAAGAAGAGAGGAGAGTTCTTGCCTCAGAAATACATACTTAGACAGTAGAAAATATGTGCAGAAGGTCCTGGGTTCTAACCTTGGCATTGTCAGAATTTGGAAAGATCTCTATCTGAACTTAGAAAAACAGAGTGAGCTATATCAGGGGTCTCCAAACTTTTCAGCTTGAGGGCCACGTTATATATTTTACACATTTTGAGGGCCAAAGGCGGAGATAGAAAGAGGAGCGAAGCCTGACAGAAGCAATCCCCCCCCACCCGCACTGTCTTTGCAAAGATAGATGGGCTAGGGCAATGATGGCGAACCTATGGCACGCGTGCCACCACTGGCACACGAAGCCCTTCTGACACGCGACAAACCTTTTGAAGTGGCTGCAGCTGGGATCCCCCTTTCTCTTCCTGTTCTGGGTCCTTTAACTTCCTGTCCGTCCCCATGATTTCCCCTTTAACTTCCTGTCTGTCCCCATGATTCCCCCTGAAACTGCCACTTCCTGTTCCGGTTCTGGTCTTCCGGGCACCACGGTAGCCACTGGTTTCTTCCCAAACCCCTCATTTTGGGCACTGGAGCAAAAAAAGATTTGCCTCCACTGGGCTAGGGGATCACTTGGGTCCCCCTTCCCTCCTCTTACTGTACCCAGGAAATGTTTGAGATGAAGTGGATGTTCTTCCTTAAAAAGTTTTCCTGAGAAAAACTTAAAGCAAAATATAAAGGTTCATGGGTTTCCTAGTACTATTAAAAAGATAAAGTGGACAAGAACAAGAGAGATGTCATCTCTTGGGATTTTGTTATAAATCCTGTAATATTGTGCAGGGACCATTGGCATCACTTCCATGTTGTAAAAACTCCCAAGAGTTCCTTGCAATGATTGTTGGGGTGTTTTGTTTGAGATGCTTCTTGTGTCATCATTTATATCTGTTCTTTTTCTGTCGTATTGCTTGGTCCC